GTGATACATAGACCACTGGTGATACACAAGTCCTAGGTGATACACAGACCTTTGGTGATACAAAGACCACTAGTGATAGACAGACCCTAGGTGATACACATACCCTTGGTGATACAGAGACCCTAGTTGATACACCGACACTTCGTGATACACAGACCCTAGGTAATACACATACCCTTGGTGACAAAAAGACCCTTGACGACACATAGACCACTGGTGATACATAGACACTTGGTGATACATAGACCCCTGGTAGAACACAGACCCTTTATGATACACATTCCCTTGGTGATACACATAATCTCAGTGATACACATAATCTTGGTGATACATAGACACTTGGAGATACATTTACCCTTGTTGATACAGACCCTAGGTGATAAATAGCCCCTTGATGATACATACCCCTGGTGATAGAAACCCTAATTGTTGAAACACAAATATCTGGTTATTGACAGACACTTTATGATGCACAAACCCTTGGTAATAAATATACCCTTGGTGATACATAGACTGTTGGTGAGAGACACCTTTAGTGGTAGTACACAGACCCTTAATAATACACATACCCTTGGTGATACCGTAATCTTAGTTATAAATAAGGCCTTAGTGATAAAGACCCTGAGTGATACATAGAGTCATTTTCCCCTTATTGATACTGAGACCCTTGACTGACCCTCTGCGATGCACATACTCTTGGTGATATCAAAACCAAACCTATATAAATACAGACTGTTGGTGATAGATCCTTGTTGATAACGAGAAATAGGTGATCGGTATATAGACCTTGGTGATTGATATATAGGTTCTGGTGATGGGTATACAGACCCTGGTGATGGGTATATGGACCCTGGTGATGGGTATATAGACCCTGGTGATGGGTATATAAACCCTGGTAATGGGTATATAAACCCTGGTAATGGGTATACAGAGCCTGGTGATAGATAATACAGACCCTAGTGATGGGTATACAGACCCTGGTGATGGGTATATAGACCCTGGTGATTGATATACAGACCCTGGTGATGGAAATACAGACCCTTGTAATAGATAATAGAGACCCTGGTTATGGGTATATAGACCCTGGTGATGGGTATACAGACCCTGGTGATGGGTATACAGACCCTGGTGATAGATAATAGAGACCCTGGTTATGGGTATATAGACCCTGGTGATGGGTATACAGACCCTGGTGATGGGTATACAGACCCTGGTGATAGATAATATTGACCCTGGTGATAGATAATATAGACCCTGGTGATTGGTATATAAACCTTGGTGATAGATAATATGGACCCTGGTGATGGGTATATAGACCCTGGTGATGGGTATATAGATCCTGGTGATGGGTATATAAACCCTGGTGATGGGTATATAAACCTTGGTGATAGATAATATGGACCCTGGTGATGGGTATATAGACCCTGGTGATGGATATACAGACCCTGGTGATAGATAAAAGACCCTATTGATGGGTATATAGACCCTGGTGATGGGTATATAAACCCTGGTGATAGATAATATAGACCCTGGTGATCGGTATATAGACCCTGGTGATGGGTATACAGACCCTGGTGATGGGTATACAGACCCTGGTGATGGGATACAAACCCTGGTGATGGGTATATAGACCCTGGTGATGGGTATACAAACCCTGGTGATGGGTATATAAACCCTGGTAATGGGTATACAGAGCCTGTTGATGGGTATACAGACCCTGGTGATAGATAATATTGACCCTGGTGATAGATAATATAGACCCTGGTGATTGGTATATAAACCTTGGTGATAGATAATATGGACCCTGGTGATGGGTATATAGACCCTGGTGATGGGTATATAGACCCTGGTGATGGGTATATAAACCCTGGTGATGGGTATATAAACCTTGGTGATAGATAATATGGACCCTGGTGATGGGTATACAGACCCTGGTGAAAGATAATACAAACCCTGGTGATGGGTATATAGACCCTGGTGATGGATATACAGACCCTGGTGATAGATAAAAGACCCTATTGATGGGTATATAGACCCTGGTGATGGGTATATAAACCCTGGTGATAGATAATATAGACCCTGGTGATGGGTATATAGACCCTGGTGATGGGTATACAGACCCTGGTGATGGGTATACAGACCCTGGTGATGGGATACAAACCCTGGTGATGGGTATATAGACCCTGGTGATGGGTATACAAACCCTGGTGATGGGTATATAAACCCTGGTAATGGGTATACAGAGCCTGGTGATAGATAATACAGACCCTAGTGATGGGTATACAGACCCTGGTGATGGGTATATAGACCCTGGTGATTGATATACAGACCCTGGTGATGGGTATACAGACCCTTGTGATAGATAATAGAGACCCTGGTTATGGGTATATAGACCCTGGTGATGGGTATACAGACCCTGGTGATGGGTAAACAGACCCTGGTGATAGATAATAGAGACCCTGGTTATGGGTATATAGACCCTGGTGATGGGTATACAGACCCTGGTGATGGGTATACAGACCCTGGTGATGGGTATACAGACCCTGGTGATGGGTATACAGACCCTGGTGATAGATAATACAGACCCTAGTGATGGGTATATAGACCCTGGTGATGGGTATACAGACCCTGGTGATAGATAATATAGACCCTGGTGATGGGTATATTAATCCCGGTGATAGATAATATGGACCCTGGTGATGGGTATATAGACCCTGGTGATCGGTATATAGACCCTGGTGATGGGTATACAGACCCTGGTGATGGGTATACAGACCCTGGTGATGGGATACAAACCCTGGTGATGGGTATATAGACCCTGGTGATGGGTATACAAACCATGGTGATGGGTATATAAACCCTGGTGATGGGTATACAGACCCTAGTGATGGGTATATAGACCCTGGTGATTGATATACAGACCCTGGTGATGGGTATACAGACCCTTGTGATAGATAATAGAGACCCTGGTTATGGGTATATAGACCCTGGTGATGGGTATACAGACCCTGGTGATGGGTAAACAGACCCTGGTGATAGATAATAGAGACCCTGGTTATGGGTATATAGACCCTGGTGATGGGTATACAGACCCTGGTGATGGGTATACAGACCCTGGTGATGGGTATACAGACCCTGGTGATAGATAATACAGACCCTAGTGATGGGTATATAGACCCTGGTGATGGGTATACAGACCCTGGTGATAGATAATATAGACCCTGGTGATGGGTATATTAATCCCGGTGATAGATAATATGGACCCTGGTGATGGGTATATAGACCCTGGTGATGGGTATACAGACCCTGGTGATAGATAATATTGACCCTGGTGATAGATAATATAGACCCTGGTGATTGGTATATAAACCCTGGTGATAGATAAAATGGACCCTGGTGATGTGTAAATAGACCCTGGTGATGGGTATACAAACCCTGGTTATGGGAACATAAACTCTAGCAATACATAAACAGACCCTGTCTTTAACAGAGAGGGAGAGAGAGAGAAAAAATTATAGTAAATGAAAAAATAAATAAATAAAAACATTATTAAAATAATAAATAAATAAATTAATTAATTGATTAATTTTAAGAGAATGTTAATAAAAAGGAATAAATATGATAGATAAATAAATAAATAAATTATTTATTAGTAAATCAAACATTTACTTTAATTATCAGAAATAATAAATAAACCAATAAATAAAGAAGGAAACCAATAAATAAATAAACAATCAAGCAAAATATAAAGTAAGTAAACAAATAAACAAACAAATTAAAATATAAATGAATTAAAACATAAATAATAAATTAATCTATAAATTTATTAATTAAATAAAAGAATAAATTAATAATAAATAAATAGAAGAATTGATTACTCATTAGAATAATTAATTAATGAAGAAAAGAATGTATTTATAAATAAACAGACAAATAAATTTCCTAATGAATAAATAAGTTACTTAGTTTATCAATAATTATTACAATTAAAAAAAAAAAAAAAATAAAAATAAATAAATAAATAAATAAATAAATAAATAAATAAAAGATTAAATAAACAAATAAAAACTAATTGCAATGTCGAGTTATTAATTCTTCGGCTTTTTAAATAGAATTTTATTGAATTATGCATAAATTTCTGCATCTGAGAATAGCACTACTAGTTTTCGTTATATATTCCGAATTTCCTCTCTGCTGTTTTCCGAACTCGATGTAAATTTGTTGCGCGCATGCGCTCTGCCGCGAGATATAAAAATGTATTCATATTATACCTCACAGAAGGCCCAGAGGCCACAATGCTCGCCTCAATCCCTCACACACGTTAACACTTGGCAAAAATCCATTAAAGATTGTTCTATCGTTAAAATCAATTTGTTCTCATTCAAGAATAGAATGTGAGTCTCATAAATTTTCAGTAGACGGAAAAATAGCTAAGATTATTCAGGGGGTGGGGGGTTTCGCCTCATATCCCTCCCCAGGAGTCCCCCAATTCCCCCAGTCCTGTCTATGTAATATAAAAAATTGCAGAATTGTTAGTAGTTTCGTTCTAAGCTTGAACATTTGTATTTGACGATTTCATCAGGGACATAGTTTATATCTCCCTGATTTCATAAATATCCTCAATGCATTACATTAAATTAAGTACCTTTTGAAATGAAATTTTGAACAATTTTTGCATTTTATGAATTAGTTTGAGTCATCCCCTGTTGAGAATAAAAAAATGTATAAATACTATTTCATTATTATGTAGACATTAAATAAAAAATGACTGGCCTTTTTTTTACCATAGTTGATAGATGGGGAATTTGAGTGCCTATAATTTAATTTTATTGTGTCAATTTTTTTTCCATACATGTATGGGTTATCTCTCTTTGCCCATTTCATTCTTACAGTCATATCAAATAAAAACATTTTTAACTGCAAGTTATATGAGGATAAGCACAACCTAATAAAGTCATTATAATGCATAAATTTTGATGTTTTACATTGAAATAAAATAAAAAATTGCTTTTATATACTTTATTTTTTGTTCCATTCTTCAATATTGTAAGAACAAAATCACCATAAACTGACAAAAAAAAAATCACAAAGAATGGATAAATATTACAACTTCAGTCTGACCCACAACTTTAAATGAAAGATTTTCTAAATGATTGTACAAAAAGTCACACTGGTATATCTACTCATCTATTATTTAACAATTCAATTTTTGGTATCTTTATGTAACTCATTATCAAAGTAGGTCGTAATTTCATGATTCAATGCACAGTAAAAATTTTTTTTTTAAAATCAAGGTACTACAACCGGGAAAATTAGTTCAAATATCGGTAGACAAATTTCTGTCCTCCAAAAAAAAATGTCCAAGATGGTATGACACACAATAGCATCTAATTTATAATGAAAGAACATTGTATATTTATAAAAGTTCTCATACTAAATTCAGACAATCTTTCAGAAAGATAAAAATCAAGTATGAGAATATATGTTAATAACATACATGTAGTACACATAAATATATTTTTATACTTATTTGTCTGTCAGTTTTTGCTTCAAAAAGAAGAGTTTTAAGGATAAGAAAGATAACTCTCATTATAGACTATAACTATTTCTACAATTGTTTAAACACTAAGGGTTATGTGAAAATTTATCTTCTCTTCTTAATCTAAAATACTGTCTAACCAGTCCTCAAGATCATCAGCTGTTACAGGAAAAAAAAGAAATACATGTAATACTCATTAATAAACAAATTAAAAATTTTAAAAATAACTAAAGAAAGTCACATGACATCCAGATACATGCATGTACTTTACCTGTTTCTCCTTTAGTGTGTACATTCTTGGGAATTCGTGTTTTTTCGGACGTTTCCATGGACAACAGTGCGTCAAGTTCCTGGTCATCTATACTTGGGGTCTGGAATTTCACTTCCGTTTCTTCTGAATTTTGAACAACAGGATTTTGTTGGTCGCTTTCTACACAAACGAAGTCAGTTTTTGATTGAGTTTTGTCATTTTTGCACAAGTCCTTTTGAGCTTTGGGACTCTCTTTAGTGTCACCAGTGAGGTTTCTTTGAGGTGGAGTGTGTTGTTTATTTTCTTTGGGAATATTGTCTTTATCAGATGAGTTTTGCATTGATTGGGTCTCCATTATTTGTAGTTGTTCCTTCTGCAAAAATAAGTTTAACGTATTTCATTTTGGGAGAAATTAAAAAAATTAACCAAGTTCAAATTACCATATACAAAACTTCTCTTCTGATTTTGTTAGTTCTTTTCTGAAATTAGGGTATATAAATTCAATTTAGGATATATAGAATGATTTTGGAATGGCTTTTGGTATACAAAAATTACACTGTAGATGTCATTTATAATACACCTGGGTTTACCTTCCAGTGCCACACTTCTTTTCCTAAGCTGAAAATTTGGACAATAATTATATAATCCTATGAACTAAAAGGAAAAGAATTTTCAATATAAACATCAAATGATTTTCAGCTATAGGTCACCTTTATGGGAATATGGGAAGGTAAGTGTTTTCTTTTAAATAATGTCCTTACTAGGGATGTGCGATTTTATTGGTATACCGGTATATCGCGATTTTTTGTTGCGTGATACGTATCGTGATACGGAGACCTAAATACCGGTATTTAGGAACATATTATAAAGTCCAGAAACTATTCATTTATTTCTTCAATCTTTCAAATAACAATTACAGAAAGTATAAAAAATGTTGTAAAAAGTGAAAAGAACGGCATCTTAACGTCCAAACTTAATTTATTTTATATACCGGTACATAAAAATTTCAAGAAAGTAATTTTTTTTCTAGCATATTTTTTAGCAAAATAATGACTTTTCATATAAAATCATTGTGAAAACTGTTTTTAAAAATATCATGATATTATCGTGATATTGTGGGAAAAAATCGTGATATATCGCGATACGAAATTTTTGGCGATACCCATCCCTAGTCCTTACAGTAAAATGTTCTTTGCTGATACCCAGCTTTTGATACAGGGGAAGAGACTGCAGACTGTCAGATAGAGCCACGAGATCTATTGACATCTGATCGTAATGTGGACTGGCGGCCTCCTCTTCCCACAATGCCTCATCCTTAAATCTGAACTGCGCAGCTGATGCCCCTGTGGAGACAAAAGATAATAATCTTTTTTCCGTGTTTCACAATCAATGCAGCTATCTCAGGCCTTGAATATTTTTAATACCACAGATTATTTATTGTCAAGACAGTTGAATTTTTTTTCCCCAATATTTTAATCTCAATGGATATCTTGTAGTTTTTTTATATTTATAACATCGATCAATATATCAAAATCTTGGACGTCTTTTTTCAGATCTATTGAGTTCAAGGTTTTTACATCTGCATTATTTATTTGATAATACAAATTGCAAATTAATTTTTGTGACATTTTTTATTATCAAATCACTGTTGACAGGAAAACTTTTCTAGTCAATTCTCCTTCTTACGCACTCCGAGAGAATAATTTTCCTGAATAAACAACCATAATGGTCTACAAGTTATAAACAACCATAATGGTCTACCGGTTATAAACAAACATATCAGTCTACCAGTTATAAACAACCATAATGGTCTACCAGTTAAAAACAACCATATCAATCTACCATGCAGTTATAAACAACCATAATGGTTTATCAATCATAAACAACCATATTAAATAGTCTACAGTTTTAATAATCATATTGGTCTAAAAGTTATGAGTCCAATTATTACCTTCATATTTTAAAAGTTTTTCAAAGCTTTCTCCTTTTTGTGTAGGTCCTATATAGGGATCTTCCTCTGGAGGCAGTTCATATTTCTCCCAGTTACTTTTCACTTCCCGTCGAGAAAATCGGGCTACATTAGGGGTATGGCCGCTACCCTAAAAAATGTATAATTTCGGTTAATTTAAATACATATCATGAAAGCCCATTTATTTCCTTTACTTTGATGACCTTATTGGTAATTTATTTCTGGACTAATAAATGAATTTCAGATAAAACAGTTTGTTATATCTGACATTGATTTTTCTGTCACATTTCCCAGTTGGGGAATTGTGTGAGAAAAGTTACAAAAACCTAACAGAAATAAATTCCATACACCAGTAGATCTAAAAATTCAGTAAAAGTTGGATTTAATACTATGGATTATAGAAATAATGCCTTTTTTTTTAAAATGTCTTTTTTTGGCACCTTGGGAGATTGCATAAGTAATACCAGCTCCTATAAGCATAATTTTAGAAATTTTCCCATATTACATTAAAAATCCAAATTTAAATCTGTAACTCATCCAGGTAAACTTGCAGCAAAAATCAGCTCAATATATAGTGTGTGTAGTAAAACATTTGCAGAAAACCAAGACAGACTGAAAGACAAAGAGATAGATGGGAGGGAAATAATAGTTGCCTTCAGTTTCACTAGTAGATGGAATAGCAGTTCAGGGGAGGAAAATAAGGATACAGGTAAGTTGTTAAACATAAAGTGCCTTTGTGTGGCTTATTCGATTTATTTGTGTCGGAACCGATGCAAAGATAGAATATAGGCATTTAAAACTGGAATTTACCTTTTTTGTTGGTTTAGCCCCCCCTTTCAATTAGCCTCCCACTTTCAATTTGCTTCCGACGCCAACATGTATGATTATAGACTCATTTTATGGTACCGTTATAAACCCTCTTCAACAAGATTATTTAATATACCGTAGTCAACCTATATTCAAACAATACCTGTTTTGTGTATATCTTAAATCATTTGAAATTTGACATCATTGCTTTAAGCTAACTAATCATTAGTTTTGATTAAGAAGAAGGTTGATTTTCGATTCCCTTGCTGGATAAAATATCAGACATTAGCAGGTCCAGTCCAAAGACTATTTCTACCTACGTAGGTATTAATAGTAACCTAGGTATTTAAAGCTACCCAAAGTAGCTATTTTTACCTACTTTCTGCTTTACTTGCATTTTGTGGCCGAATGCAGGAACAGCGCAACATAGTGAGCACAAAATTTCTTGATACAGTCACACTGATGATGAATATGACAAAAAATTGGCCAAAAAATGAAAACTTCGTATATTATCAATTTTGCATAGAAACTAATGTAAAATTGCCGATTCAGGAAGTAATCATTTTTTGGCCAAAATTTTGTCATATTCATCATCAGTGTGACCGTATCAAAAAATATGGTATTCACCATGTTGCGCCGTTTGGTCTTTTGGTCGCAAAATGCAGAAATTATATAAAGTAGGTAAAAATAGCTACTTTTGGTAGCTTTAAATACCTAGGTAGCTATTAATAGCTACATAGGTAGAAATAGTCTTTGGACTGGACCTGATTAGAGTATCAGGAGCATAGCAGCAGCGAGACTGTGTATAATCCGAGATTCCTCTGACTCTAACCCCTGCTTTTATATTGTGACTTGTGCTCCCCTGCACAAGTCACAATATAAAAGCAGGGGTTAGAGTCAGAGGAATCTCGGATTAGACTGTGTACTGTTTGACCACCAAAACAGAAAAGTGAACAATTACTGTACCGATCTGTCGCTAATATCAGTTTTCACCGTGTTCGCCAATGTTTCTTCAGTATTCCCTTTTTTGTCTTTAGCGGTTTCCCCTTTTCTTTCTTCCTTTATCCCATGTTTCTTTTTGTACTGTGCGTTTTTCTTCTTTTTGTGCTCATCTGGTCGCATGTTTCACTCAGCTTTAAAATGAAATGAAAATGAAAGTAGGATTTTTTGACAGTGCTGTACCCGTGTATTCTTTCTTTTTATTATTTTTTATCTGTTTCAAATGCTTTATTACAACTGAATTATTAAATTTTGTTTCTTATAAGATTTAATTTTGTGTCGCTTAAATGTGATTAGAAAATCGGATTTCTGTCATCCAACGAAACCACGAGTTATCTCGTGTCTGCACATGCTACTTTCGTTTTGTTAAGCAAAACACAAAACATGTTCTGCACAAATTTAAATTAGGCCTATAGTCTATACTCGACTATAGATTGTAACTCTAATTTTGTCAACTTTTAAGCAAATAGGTAATCGATATCGATTAATATGATCATCAGAAAGAATCGATTCCGTTATAATTGTTAGTTAATTTTATCTTTTTATCAATGAAATCAGAAATCACGTACCCCTCAGGCTTTTGGGAGGAAACATATATAGAACCTTCACCAATATTTTTGTGAATTCATTTTCGTATTCAGTGATGTGAACGTACTCGATCTACCACAATCATGACTATGCATTAACCTGTTAATGCTATTAATGCGTAGCTAGGGTCTGTAGATCTACATCAATATCTGAATAAATTGCACTAGGTAAAACACGTATATTTATGGATTGATTTATGGTGGGTTAAAATTTGTTTAAATCTAGCGATTGTCTGTTTGAACTGGTGAAATCATTGCATCATATATGTATGTACAGTATTTATTGTTCAGTCTTTTTAAAAAGCCCGCTTGTATATAAAGGAAAAGAAGGGGGAAATGGGTCACGTTAACTATGACGATGCGAGATATTGCTGTGTTCTGTGAAAAGTAGACCGTGGACCGGTGAACAAGGAGGTAAGTTCTATGGCCTCTTTTTTTCTGATGTCCCAAGCTTTAACTGAGTTTTCATTTCTCTACCAGTCAAACATATCCAGCACTTGATGAAAGTGAATTTTGATTGTAGTAGCTATATAAACATGTATTAATTTAATCATGTGATAATTGAATACATGTTCTACATAGAGTATGTTTTCAGATGCAATGTGATCTATAAATTTATTAAAAATTATAATGTTACAAATATGCTAAAGGATACTTTTACATCTTTTTTTTTTTATCTAACTAAGTATTGGTCTTGTCTTGAAACTGCTGGGCATGAAATTTGTGGCTAAATTCATTTGTTATAGCAGACGATATTAGAGAATAAGTTACACAATTTGATATATTAAGTTCCTGAAAGAAGATCTAGTCTGTTTTCAATTGATTTCTTTTTTCTTTTTGTAAATATGAGCAGCGCTTTAAAATATCCATAAAATTTTTAAAAATAATTAATCACTGAATGAAAACGGAACTTGCTGGTGTTAAATCATTTTGATCTGTGTTAATTAGCACAATTTTAAGATGCCCTTTCTCATCTCCTTCAACTTGTCCTTATTATTAGACACCAGGAGCTTTAACTAGTTTACTTATACCAACATCTTGTGAATGAAAAGACTTAATTTTCAAATAATATTTATAAGAAATCAATTGTTTTTTTCTTCTTTGACATTAACTTAATATAAGAATCAGAGGTCAGTGCAAAGCTATACACAAGAAATTAACACTTGGGTGATGGCAGATTTAATATTATCTTACATTTCCATCCTAATCTCATAAAATGTGTTAATTATATTGTAATGAAGCTGAATTATCAAGGCCATCTGTGAATTAGATATTTTGAATGGTATATATAGATTCTTCTCTTATTGATCTAGGTTTGAAACCAACTGGATTAAGAAGTGTGTATTCCCCAGTAATTTTTGGTTTGTTTGTTTATTTGTTTGTTAATATTTTAATATCTACTGTTTCATTAAGGAGCAATTTTCTAAAAAAAAAAATGTGTTTGTTCACTTAATATTTTACCATATATATTCTGTTTACTGAGTGGAAATTTATTAATTAACTACTGAAATAATTTTTTTTCATGAAGAATATTAAAAAAAATCTGATTTAAAAAAGTATTTAAAAAAGACAAGAATAAAATATATTTAAAGTAAATTATTAAGTAAGTAAGTAAATCATTTATTACACTGACATTTATATAAATAAATATAATCATTAAAAATTTTTAAACTGCTCATTGGACCATCAGTGTTTTCCCTAAGAACCCACTACCGGCCAAATTGACCTCTTCACTTGAGTCTTGACAAAAATGCCTGTTTGAAATTTAAAAAAAAAAAAATCAAAATTTAATTGTTGTAAGGTCAGAAGAGAACCTCTGACCCAGTTTGTTATAACTGATCTCTATGACCCTTTACTTTGAAATTAAAACGCTGGACCAGACATATATGTCACTCTTTTAATGTACTAGTGGTAAAAATAAACTTGAGGAGAAATTACAGTAACTTTTATTTATGTAATTTATGTTCAAGTTAATATGTGCATATATTAAGTTGAACATAAATTACATAAATAAAAGTTACTGTAATATTGATGTGATTAATTTAGCCCTGGGTTAAAGATTGATGCTTTAATTATTATAACTTCAGTGAATTTTAATTATCTTAAGAAAAAAAGTAAAAAAAGATAATATTAGCATATATTAAAAGAAGATAATTTTAAGAAAGATAATTTCAGATAATATTTTCTGATTTCGCCAATTTGCAACTCTCTGCACTCTCAGCCTTAATTTCTCAAGAATTTTTTTTTTTTCTCTTAATGATGATTAAATTAATTTAATTCAATTATTCACTTGAAGAAATGTAACACACCAACATTATCTTTGAAAGTTTGAAATATGTTAAATAATTAATATTGTAACAAATTTTGAAATTATTAAATGTACAAATTCATTTGTGATGTTAAATTCCTGTTTGTACATGTGTGGTATTTTAATATATTATTCCTCCTTCGGTGTACTGTGTGTACATTTCAACAGCTGTTTCAGTCATAAGACCTATTAAGTGTAAAGAGGTCAGTGCAAAGAGGTCATTGTCATCTTTTATCTAGAAAAGGCAGATATTCAATGGAGGAAAAATTCATGAAATAGTCAGCTGGTATTAAGAGCATGCATACAAATTTTCAGCTAGATGTATGTGTAGAATTTCATATGCATTAAATTTATTGAAAAAATATATTTACTTAATTCCATCTTTAAAAAATTGTTTGTTTGCCCTCTCCCAATTGACTGGCTAAAACTTTTTTCAACCTCTAGGAATTAAGATTTTTTTTTTCTTTTTACTCTTGAATTTTCCCATTCCATCAACATATTATATGTTAAAATTTTCTCTAAGAAATTTTTTTCCCACCTACCAACTACCCAAATTATTTTACCCTGAATTAGGAGAGGGCAAACAAACAGTATTTTAAAGATATATATGGCCTAATGTGTAACTATTCATTAAATTTTTAAACATACAAAGAAACAAACCATTACCATGTTCTCCTCAAAGAGAGTTTTCCAACCCAAAATGATTTCGCTAATATTGTTAGTGGAATTTATATTCACTGGCCACAGAAATTTTATTGCTTTTCACTCGTGCATGTACATTTTTACAATACTTGGACAAATGCAGTAAAAATTTGAGTCAAAATATACTTTTTCTATATTCAAGTAAGCATGCCATCTAAATGCAGTAGCACAGATTGTTTGTTTGTTTTTTGTTGTGTAACTTTTTATTTCAAAACCATGTCTGCATTGGATATTTTGATATTTTAATTCAAGCATAAAATCACCCTTTTAAACACAGCCCAGGTAATAGCCATATATACACTCAAGGCTATCTTTGAAAGAAATGTAAAATCTTGGGGAAATGTTGAGATAATTTAAAAAAAATTCTAAAGAATATAATGAATACCCTTATGCGTTAGAATCAATAATTGCTTTTCAGTGGAGTTCAATTGAACAAAACGCTAACTTGCGATATTTGCTTTTCCAGTCCTAAAAGTAGAAATCAATTAAATATTGAATTAGGGATGCAGACAGAGTTGTCTACCCTGTAAAATAGGTGCAATGACATACATCAGAGAATTCAGTTTACCACAACATTTGACTATTGCAGACACTTTTAAATCAAAGTACAGAAAGTACTGACATGTGCTTGGCAACAGTTTATGCCACAAGCTAAAAGGAGTGTTTGAGGCATTGGCATAAAAAAATTTTGAGATTGAGTTTTTGCACTGCAATTAAAAAATATACATTAATTAAAGAGTTGAAGACAATTATGAACTAGAATTAAAGGCAAGCCCTCAAGGAATATGCAGTTTCCTGTCAGGTTTGATAAAAGAGCTATCCCACTCTCAGCCAGTGGATAAGTGTATATTGTCCTATTTTTGTCCATATAAATTGCAGTAAAAGATGTTCAGTTAACCAAAAATTCAGTCAGCCCTTGTTGCATCAAACTGAATGGGTTACAGAGGTATCGAAAGATTCTGAGATGTTGGGGTAAAAAATACATTTTAAAAAGTTTTTTACATATTGAACTCCTTTTGACATATTCTTGGCATTTGAGACATTATACTGCTGCAGATATTGAAGTTCAACTGTTTGTCTCCCTCCCTCTCTCTCTCTCTCTCTCTCTCTCTCTCTCTCTCTCTCTCTCAGTCTGTAAGTTCATTTACACCTGCAGCTCTTACTGTGGTTTCATCAGTTTTTGTGGATTTTGTAAAACAGATGTTTTTTCGTAATCTCATGGATGAAAGCATTTTCTATACTATAGGATTAAACGTTCTTTTTTCAGAATTTATGGCCATTTTACTCACAAACTAAATAAAAAAGAATTTTCTATACATATGAATAACTCATTTCTTAATTCAATGAACATTTAATTTCGTGGATTTGCTCAACAATGAATTCCTCGAAAATTGGTGCTCAACAAATATTGATGAAACCACAGTATTTTTCAGTGGCCAGGAGTGGGTCTTCAGTGATAACTATTAACACTGTAATACTGTAAATCACAGTTTTATTTTTTTAATTAAATTTGAAGTTTCATGTATTCAATATTTCACGTAATTGCTTTCATTGTTTATACGATACAGCATCGATGCTCACGAAAAATTTCACTCTCACGTATAATAGAATTCCTTAAGATTATAAAGAGTAATGACCACAAATCGTGAAAATTTTGTCTCGCTAATAAAGAATCAATGACAATCTCGCGAAAATAAGGTGTCGCAAAAATTAAGTGATCTACAGTATTCATGTACAAGTACATGACTATCTTTATGCTATTGTTTCAGAAGACAGTGGACCGTGGAGGAAATTTTATCCAGATCATTTGCTATCATGGACAAAGAGAAGGGAGTTGATACAGCTACTGTAGAAAAATGCTTGACTGATATGACTCTGCAGGGCAATTTGCAAAAACCAGGTAGCATTTCTTATAACCCAATCTCTGAAGATTTTCTAATGAAATCCTGACTTATGAACTCTATCAAATGAAGTGAATATAATACTTATACAAAAGCACTTGAAAATCAAAACACGTTCAGACAGATTTAATTTTTTTTTTCTAACACAAACTGTAGATTCTGAAATTTGCATGTGGAATTCATTATCGCGTAATTTTGCGAGAAGCATGAAATAAAATTACTTGCCTTTTAATATTTTAATGATGCTGAAATCTATGTAAAATCTCTTAATCAACCGTCCATTTGTGAATTATTATTCTCGCGATTTGACATTGAAGAGCCCATTTGCGATAATACTAGCGAAAAATAAGGAATCTACAGAAGAAGAACTCAATCGTTTCGAAAAGACATTTGCCAAGTGCCTGTTGACAATTTTAAAAGTAACTAAAATTAGTAATGCGCACACATTATGGAACTTAGTAGGCAGTCAACTAGTCACACTATAGTAAAAAAGAATCTGATTGCCCTACTACAAATCTTCATATTTCACATCGTGTTTCACTATTGTGGCATGACAATGCGGCAACCGAGATGTTTTTTCTACTGAGTGAATTAATATTGTATACTAGTATATCGTTAAATAATTGTGTTGATTCAATATTATAAATATAAATATTTAGAAAAGTTTTTCATGGGTGGGGTTCTAAAGTTACTGGAAGGGTTCAACACTGTAGTAACTTGTTTAGTACGAACATGAATATTGCAAATTCACAGATATAGAGAGGTTATCTAGGATTCACAGCTGTATAAATTTAACGAATTCCCTACATGGATATAGCGAATCACGGATATATCGAAGTAATTTCATAGGTCCCAATGACTTCATTATTTATAACCGAGTTTTACTGACTATAACAGTAGCCCCCTGGCCCAAAACAATTGAAAACTGAGTTTGGGCTACTAAAACAAGTCATCAAGCTTGTCCTATAGGGCTAGTGAAAATTAGGATATTAAGCATACCCTCACTTAAGGTCACACGCAACGTAGTTTGAACTTTATTGGGTTCTTCCCTGGAGTTGAAGATTCCACTAAATGAATGACCTGTGTGGAATACTTTTAATGTCTATTTATGGATTTGTACACCTCTTCTAAACAAATTTTGATGGAAAAAATATCCTGGAATTTATGTTTTATAATTTTTGTACAATTTTCTTTGTTTAATGCAAAAATTTTCATACCTGGTAATATGATATCTTTTCAAAACCCCTGGTAACACATGCTGATTTTTTGTCTAATTTATTACATTAAAAAATTCTGAATTTGCTAGCTAGGGTATAAGGAAATTAATTTTTGAATCATCGTTGTCATATAAATTGAATTGTTGCATTTTCATTGCCACCATATTTATACCCCTGCTCCGAAGGAGAGGGGGATATACTGTTTTACTTTTGTGTATTTGTCCATCCGCCTTTCTGTCCGTCTGTCCGTAACAAATTTTCGTCAAAGTTTTCTCATTGCAGATGCTTGAAATTTTGACATAATCTTCTGTAAGACATGCCATATGTTGGGATCCATTTTTGTTCAAATCTGATGTCAACTTCCTGTTTATCTTTGCGTCTGTCCATTTCGTACATAACAAATTTTCGTCTCAGTTTTCTCAGTTTTCTTCATTGCAGATGCTTGAAATTTTAACACAACCTTCTCAGAGACATTCCATATGGTGGAATTTAATTCTGTTCAAACCTGATGTCAACTTCCTGTTCGTCCGTGCATAAATTGTCCGTTTCATACATGTTTCATGCATAACAAATTTTTGTTATGATATAAAACAGAGAGTACAATATTTTAAAAAGTTTGTATGTGAAGATTTTTAAAAATAATTACAGTATACCCATTTGTTTTTTGTTTGTTTTTGTTTTTTTTTTTACATTAATTTACACAGATTAGGTCAAAAATATCAAAATTATAATTTCTTAATTCAGACACAGAACCAGATTTTTAAAGGAGAGGGTGGGGTTCCACTCCATTTTTAGCTCACCTGAGCCGAAGGCTCAAGTGAGCTTTTCTGATCACATTTTGTCCGGCGTCCGTCTGTCTGTCTGTCCGTCTGCCTGTCTGTAAACTTTTCACATTTTCGACTTCTTCTCAAGAACCACTGGGCCAATTTCAACCAAACTTGCCAAAAAGTATCCTTGGGTGAAGGGGATTCAAGTTTGTTCAAATGAACGGCCACGCCCTCATTCAAGAGGAGATAATTGGGAATTAATGAAAATTTGGTGGCATATTTTAAAAATCTTCTTCTCAAGAGCCACTGTGCCAGGAAAGATGAAACTGTTGGGGAAACATCCTCAGGTAGTGTAGATTCAAGTTTCTGCAAATCATGACCCCCGGGGGTAGGGCGGGGCCAAAATGGCCGACCAAAGTTTTCATAGACATATATAGGAAAATTCTTTAAGAATCTTATCTCAAGAATGACAAAGCCATAATTCATCATATTTATATGGAAGCATGTTCAGGTAGTGTAGATTCAAGTTTGTTCAAATCATGACCCCAGGGGGTAGGGTGGGGCCAAAATGGCCGACCAAAGTTTTACATAGAAATATATAGGAAAATTCTTTAAAAATTTTCTTCTCAAGAATGACAAAGCCATAATTCGTCATATTTATATGGAAGCATGCTCAAGTAGTGTAGATTCAAATTTGTTCAAATCATGACCCCCAGAGGTAGGGCTGGGCCAAAATGGCCGACTAAAGTTTTTAAAGATATAAATAGGAAAATTCTTTAAAAATCATTTTCTAAAAAATAGCAAATCCATGATTGATCATGGGACTACTTTTGGATTTAAACTTTACAATAAAAAGCCATTTTCTACTTTTTCCTACCCTTAGTGCTCAGGTGAGCGATGTGGCCCATGGACCTCTTGTTAAATGAATTCAACCCATAAATTTGTTTACAAGCAAAATAGGCTCAAAAGAACATAACTCGATCCATTCCAAATGTGAAATACTTTTTCTTGAAGGTAAGATAAGGGTCAGGGCTGAGGTACTGTAAATTCACTTTTTATTCGCGAGAACTTTATTTTCGCGTAATTACGCGAGACGGTATGCTCGCAAAAATTTCATTCTCGTGTATAATAGAATTCCTTAAGATTATGTAGAGCAATGACCACAATTCGTGAAAATTTTGTCTTGCTAATAAAGAGTTAATGACTATCTCGTGAAAATATGGTGTCGCGAAAATTAAGTGATCTACAGTACTTATAAAATCTGCAATTTCCAGGGGGAGATGGGTCCAGACGTCCCCCTCACCAAAACTCTTTCTAAGTTAGTGTATGAAATTTAATGGCTGATGTTCCAATTTTATGTAATAATAACAGACTAATACACTGATATTCCAATTTTATGTAATAATAACAGACTAATACATAGTACATTGAGATAGATATGAGAAAAATGTTTGTAATCTAATAACTAAGCCATGAAAATATCCAGAGGTTAAAAAAAAAATGAAATATTATTTAGCCTTATTCAAGCAGAGAAAATGATCCTAAATGTTTCTGCAATATAAAGGACAAAAACTCTACTATTCCTGTGAGTAAAGAATTATGAATTTAAAATAAACAAGATTTAAACTTTTGAAGGAATCTGTGGCATTTAAATATTAATGAAATTATAGGTTGCCATGGAAACATTGTAACTTTCCTAAAAAGTTAAGGTATTTCCATCCTCCTACGATGTCATAGAGTTTTTAACAGTTATGCATGTAACAAATAAAATAATTAAGTCAAATAAATTTTAAAAGTAATAATCAATCTTTTGTAAATGTTGCTAAGGGCAATAACTCCTTGTTTCTCCTACCTACTTAGGCATTTTTGTTATCGTGTTTTTAATGTAAAATGGTTTCCATGGTATTCACATTTCAATAATTCTTAGAAAGTGGCAATTATATTTGGGAACTTTCAGCATGAGAATTATGCACATTGTATATTTGCCAGTTTTTACATAATTTTCATGATACTGACAAACTTTGTTAATATCTTGAACTCATTGGGACCAAGAAAAAGCTTCGAGATATCCGGGGATTGAAGATATCGAGGATAAAATACTTAAAGAATAAGGGGTTGGGACTTCAAAATCACTTTGATATATCTATAGTATTCGACATATCAGAGTTCAAGATACCAAAGTTAAACTGCAGTGTACTTCATTCTAAAAATGAACAAATTTTTAATGCTGACATATTCCTCTGTTTATTATAATGTCTTACATCTTAAAAGAATATGGCAACCTATACATTTTTAGCTACAATTATTATTATACAATTATAATTATACAATTATTAGTTCTTTTAATTAAATTGTATTCAGTGAAAACAAATCCAGTTTTCCTATTTTTAACCATTAACATTCTGAGGATGAATATTAAATTCATAGAAGGTCCATGTAACACTTAACTAAAATATTAAAATATTAAATTTCAATATACCAAATCAGTTTGAGTTTTTATACGCCCGTCTTAAGACGGGACGTATTATGTTATAGGCTTCGTGTAAAACTCTAAATCATTTTAGAAATCCGTTGTTAAGCTTTTCTGTGTCCGGCTCATAACTTTAATACTATAAGGCCTAGAGTTATCAAACAGCTGATACATCTTGGGTAGAAGGTGTGTCGCGCAGAAATTGTGTAAGGTCGCTCTGACCTATAATTAAAAAGTTATAGCCAAATATGGAAAAATCCATCATAATAGAAAACTATTAGACTTAGAATCATCAAACTTGGCCAGTTTATGCATCTTGTAGAAGGTGTGTAAAACTATTTTAAGGTCACTGTGACCTTTAATTTAAGTGGAATTTTTTTAAAAAAAAATGTCTTTTTTCCTATTCATTTACACATTCAAAAAAATGTAAAACTATTGCACTAACCTTATTAGAAAAATGTTAAACATTGAAAATACTTATTTTTTTAGCATATACTTGACACAACAAACAAATATAATGTATGTCTGAGAAATTCCACCACTCCCATGAGTCTAATTATCAAGCACTGGTCAAGAAGAATTTTGATAACAGAAAATTGCATGTCAAATTAAAGAGAGAAATTAATGAGTTTAGTGTGAGGAGTAGCTGTAAGAGCATCGGTGCTATCTATATCCCTTGAGTATTGGGCCAAATGGGTAAGCCTGTTGGATTAAAAATAGCTCTTGTTGGCTAGCCTAAGTTTTAAAATGAATTTGATAAGAAGTAATTAAAACTAATTTGATATTGCATATTAAACTATTTTGATATTCCAAAATATTATGAACTTATTATTAATTTTATGGGGGTATAATAATGTTGTTCATATGAATTGCATATTAACAATTAACTGTCTGACATTAAATCTAAAAAAAAAAATCATTGATGTTTTACATGTTTTAAAAATGTTTTATGGTAGATAGTGCAGATCCAATAATCTTTTGGGAGTAATGAGTAGACAAGCATCCAGTTAAAGATTAATTAATGTGTTCAATGTAGAAGGCTAGCTGCATGTCTCTTTCATTTCTTCAGAGCATGGTCTTATCTCTCCTTCGGGAATTAGGCAGCAGAACTGTTGGTCAGTTTATATTTGATGGCCAGCCTTTTATTTCCAAAATTAATTAGGTATAGATTAAGTTGTGAAGACTGATTTGATATTGTTTAATATGATAGGCATTTGGCAAGGTATAGAAATCTATGAATGATGCAATATTTGCTATAATTAATGCCTACACCACAGGAGATGGATAAAAAAATTTTTTAAGGTGTTTGTAAAAATCGTTGAAATCTTAAAATCAAGGTTGACATGTTTTTCCTGCACTTTTAACTGTTTAAGATACATTGTAATTGTAATTTTTTGACGGGCGTATCATGCTGTGGCGTGGCACTTTATTGAAATTTAGAAAATTGAACTAATGTATTAACATTCTAAAACTCTAAATCATTTTAGAAATTTGAATTGTTAAGTGCTACACGGACCATAGAAACACAAATTGTTTAAACAGTTAAATAAGTTTCAGAAATTGTGTAAGCATTGAGATTTGCACACTTATATTTATACTCATCATTATAGATTGCAGGTTTGACTTTCTTGGTCTGTTTGGAGGTGTAAAACAAAAAAATTCATTCGATTAAACCAACAATTTCATTTTTTGGATTATCTTTCTTAGAACTAGCAAACATTGATTAGTTCAGTAAGAATTGTCTTTCATACATATAATAAATTTATAAATCTACCCATGAAGCGCCAAAGGCGTTTATGCATAAAATTATCATGCAAGCCAATCAATTGATCATCATCATGAAACCAAAAAATTTGACAGTTATTCATTATACATGTATTTGCATGCTCTTGATTCAACAAATGCACATGCTATAAGCCCTGGGCACTTCTGTCTCTATATTTGTACCACCCTGCACATTTTTTTTTACCATGCCTATCGATGAACCAGTAGATTTATGAAGAAAAGTATTTAAATTAATTATATATATTTGTAATTTTATCTCGGACTAAGACATTGGAAATGTGCATATTAGAATAATACTTGTAGTCTTTTTAAAAAATTGAAACATGATTTATGATACCAAAATTAGAGATTGCAAGACATCAAAATTGATTAATATGTACTCTCAAGTGCTTCTTTCTCTTTATTGATGTAGCATTATTTGCTTGTGTTTTAGAAGCTGAGGGTACCAGTAAAGAAAAGCCAATAGTCCTTCCCGATGATAGCCCAGACATGGGAGGAAAAGGGGAACAACCCACATCTTCACCTAGTGAGGGTAAGATAAGTTGTCTTTCAGTTAAAGAAGATGGTCACATCAAAGTGACTGTTGGCATCAAGGATTTTTCTTTCAATGGTCTTTTTATTATATTTCTTTAGTTTTGATGGAGGAGGCAGGAACATCACAAAAATTAGCAGTAATTGTGTTTCATTTTTGACTTAAAGAAATTGAATTTTTACTTTTCAGTACTTTTTAGTACATAATATTTTATTAGTGTATATTGTCTCAAGCCACGGTTTGGAGTCCACATACTGTAGATTCCTAAATATACGCGTGGAATTAATCATCGCGTAATTTCGCGAGTAGCACCACACGCGAATTAAAATTATTCGCTTTTATTTTTATGGTAGTTAAGTCTATGTTAAATATCTTGATCAACTGTCCATTCGCGAATTATAATACTCACTTATTGATGTTGAAGGGCTATTTCGTGATAATAAGTACTCGCCAAAAATAAGGAATCTACAGTATAGCTCTCTCATACCCATGGCTGTTTGATCACATGAATAGTCATTATCTTGAATATTGACACCTCTATGCTGTGTGACATCATGTCATGTTCAGCCAATGACAATATTTATTTCCATCGCAATTGAAATCAACATTGACATCTTAAGTACACAACAAATATTTCGTAAACTGTGAAAGGGATTTGAAAGATTGCAACAAAGATCATTTTCCGACTATGCTTTACTTGCATTGGTCAATATTTTAATGAAGTATTATATACCGTATAATCTCTATTAACCACCCCGGGCGCTTAGAAAATTGCAAAAGAGGGGCGGTTAATTTGGTATTCTCTTTATAATATTTAATGTCATATTTTAACTTTAAAAAAATCTTTATAAAACCAGAAGTCTCTGTCGAGACTGTAGCTCTACTGGTTTATACTTAAAACAAAGGAAGAGAAAAGTAGCAGTTGGGACTTGAAACTTTAAAACAGCAATAAATAGAAAAATGATCCTTGCCGCTCGTCAAAATAAAAACCGATGCACAGAATTATGTATCTTAGCATAGTGTACTTGTGTGCCAAGTTATATTGAAATCAGACCAAAACTGTAGGAAGAGTAGCATTTTGAAAGAAATTTGCAGAAATTTCTATTTTTAGTAACCATGGCAACACCGTTCATCAAAATCAAAAACAGATGCACAGAATTATGTATCTTATTGTAGTTTACTTGTGTGCCAAATTATATTGAAATCGGATCAAAGCTGTAGGAGGAGTAGCATTTTGAAAGCTTTTCACAGAAATGTCTATTTTTAGTAACCATGGCAACACCGTTCACCAAAATCAAAAACCAATGCACAGAATTATGTATCTTAGTGTAATCTACTTGTGTATCATGTTATATTGAAATTGGACCAAAACTGTAGGAGGAGTAGCATTGTGAAAGCATTTAACAGAAATTTCTATTTTTAGTAACCACAGCAACACCGTTCATCGAAATCAAAAACCGTTGCGTAGAATAATGTATCTTAGTGTAGTCTACTTGTGTGCCAAGTTATATTGAAATCAGACCTAAACTGTAGGAGGAGGAGCATTGTGAAAGCATTTCACAGAAATTTCTATTTTTGTAACCATGGCAACACCGTTCAACGAAATCAAAAACGATGCACAGAATTATGTATCTTAGTGTAGTCTACTTGTGTGCCAAGTTATATTGAAATCGGACCAAAACTGTAGGAGGAGTAGCATTTTGAAAGAATTTCACAGAAATTTCTATTTTTAGTAACCATGGCAACACCGTTCATCAAAATCAAAAACTGATGCACAGAATTATGTATCTTAGTGTAGTCTACTTGTGTGCCAAGTTATATTGAAATCGGACCAAAACTGTAGGAGGAGTAGCATTTTGAAAAATTGTTTACAGACAGACAGACAGACAGACATACAGACAGACAGATGGACGGACAACGGACGCATTACTATCACATAAGCTCTTCTGGTCTCTGACCAGTAGAGCTAAAAAAATGAATAAAAGGAACCACTAAAATAATGTCTATCTTTACTTAAAGTGAAGTCAATCCACCCAAATTATGCTAAATTATTCATTTTCCATGAAGAAATTGGATAATAGACAAGTTTCATTTTCACTTTCTTCAATTTTTTTGGATACAATTCTAGTTGATTTTAATCGCTGTACGGGGGGCCCTTATTTCCTGACAATTGAAAAAGAACTAAGGGGGCGCTTATAAGGGCAGAGGCGGTTAATAGGGATTATACGGTATTCTATTCTAATTCAACCATTGCCAGAACTTTTAAAGTAATGAATATAACAGCTAGTAGAACTCCAGTTTTTCTTTCAATTTTTCTTAACTTACGGTATCTTGAAACCCCAGATAGCTCAATGATATATAATTCTAGATAATGAGGTTTGACTGTATGTGTTTTAAAACTAAAAACTTCTTCACAGTTTAATCATCATCTAAGCTGACTGAAAACATCAAGGGATAGTCAAACCAGTTTAAGTTGAGTCAACTAGTCCAGGTAAATTTGGATAAACTTAACCCAAATTTAGTCCACACTTAACGAGGCTGAGTCTAATTTGAGTGCGCATGACTTTGCACAGCTTTTTAATTTCATGCAGTCATAAGAGTGACAGTACATGCACCTTTCCCAAATACTGTGATTTTAATATAAAATTAGCATTTTCTGTAACACCTACTGGTCTGAAAATGAGATTTTACGACAATTATTAGGAAAAAACACTGAAATGGCTCTAACGACGTCACTTTTTCCCGATTTTATAATCAATGCACAAAGCTGAAGAAGGGAACATTACTCGCTTATATGTTTTTAGACATCCATGGATATTATACTAAAAACTGATGACAGAATATCAAAATAACATACTAGCAATCAAAATTATTGCTTTTTTTTACGAAAACAAATTATCAGCGCCGATAATTCAACTGCATCGATATGTATTTATTAGTGTTGGCAAAGCGGACGATTTTTAGTAACCGGTTACTCGCTCAATCTTCCGATCGAGTACCCAGTTAATCGGATGATTTATTCATATGTATCCTTTATCTCATCTTTTACTCGTGGGTTCTAATAAAACACAGAGGTATTGTGTATTAACTTTATTTATAAACTTGAAAAGAGCACGCACGCAATATCTTGAATTATATATATAATTAATATAATCAAAATATTAAAATCAGAAAAAAATAAATATTCAATGTTTCACGCTATTTTACAATGGTTTTACTTTTCAACCCCCGGTGTATGTCACGATCAAGGAGAATAATTATTTAAAAATTTGAAGTCACGATAACTCCAATTCACATTAATTACATTTTACAAGTATGCCCTCCGCTTTTAAAATACCTCCAAGCTATACATGTGCATATATATATATATATATATATATATATATATATATATATATATATATATATATATATATATATATCTTTAGCGGCATCTTGTTAAATTTTTAATGAGGTAATTATAATTTGGGTTTCAAAACTTGTTAAACCTGCTGGTAATCAAAGCTATCAATTAAGTGTGAAAACCAATCAATCCTAATTAGTGAAACCATACATGTAGATCATTAAATCTAACGGTTAAGAAAATTAGAAAAATGTTTATTTGTACGCTTAAAAACAAATAACCATTTCATTTTTCAGTCATTAACCATATAAGATGCATTTTATCCGAGTAACCGAATAGCAATTTTACTAACCGATACTCGCATCGTTCGACGGTTAACCGGTTAACCGGGTACTCGTTGCCAACACTAGTATTTATACTGACTTATGGCAATTTTGGAGGTACTGGGCATCGAAAAAACAAACTTTGTAACTAAGATCGAGACCAACCTAGATGATCAAATTTTATGAAATTTCACAAGGTAGGGACTTTTAATAATAACTTTCATCTCCTTGACTGAAAAAGAAATCTCTAGGGAATACAAAAAATATGGGAAAAATATGATAATTTGGCTCTTTTCCAGCAAATTATAATAGGGTCCAATAACTTTTGAGATAGCCCCCTAAAAAATTGGGTGGTAAATTACATTCGATTTTTTAATCTTAAAAAAATAAATTTAACAGTAAAAATTAATTAACAAAACATTTTCAAAATCCCTAGGGTAGAAATAATTAGACTTGGCCTCGTTAATTCACCCTAAATTCTTTTGGAAATGTGGTTGTTAACCCACGAGTTGGTCACAGTGGTTTGTTTGTGGTTAAGGTTGTGGGTTCAGTTAACTAATTAATTGTTAGTTACTTTAACACGGAGTGGATGCATTATGTGAATTAAAATTATCTTGTGTTTTCCTGAGTTTTTCTTCATAGTGTGGACTAACTACCAATTTATATAATCACATATACAGTCAAACTTCGTTATCTTGAACCTGCTGGGGTAGAGAAAAAACTTCGAGATATCAGATGATTTGAGATATTGAGGGTAAAATACTTAAAGAAAATGTGGTTGGGACTTCCACATCACCATGACTTATCCAGGGTATTCCAGATATCGGAGTTCGAGATACCGAAGTTCAACTGTATCATGAATTTAATAATTAAAGTGTTTCTTTTGGACATGATTCTACTAGCATAGTTTTCATGCATGTTTATCTGTGAAGTTTCATCTGTGAAATCTGAAGAAGTGTAAAGTGTTATTTTAAATTTTTGTCTTCAGAGGCAAGTGGTGGCATCTCATTATGAGGAAAAAAGCTCAAAAGAACATTAAACAAACAAATAATGTTCTAATGACAAGAAGTACATGTATCAGAGTACTTATATAGGAATAACACTATATACATAAGATTGACTACATGTAACTGTCAATGTTGAGTCTTTGTACTGTTTGAATCCTACTTTTTCAATATTTCTGTGAGCTTATGTTCTCTGTGTAGAAGTTGCAGCTACCTTATGAACAAAAAATGTGGTGACACAGAGGATACATTAAATTGTCTGAACTTTTTAAGGATCTTAAAAGTGAGCTTTTCTGATCAGAAAAGTGTCTATGTGGTGTTCGTCTGTAT